AAATTTAAAAGGTGGAACTACTTTGGACATTTCACAAGAAATACATTAAGTAAGGGTAAGGCTTTATTATCTTAATTGAATTAGAAACTGGACACCATTGCTTTTCGAATTTGTGACAGTAATTAATGAAGAATTCAATTAAATTGTGCTCATAATAAGCAGACATGTTTTATGCACAGCAATGTGGAATATGTAGTTTTTTGCTTCTATTTCCCTTTCACTGCTCCAATCCACACATAAATAAATAAACAAATAAAAAATAAGTATAAAAATTAAGGAGAATTATGTAAAATAATGATGATTACTTATACTTGCTATTAGCCTTAGCAATAATGCAATAAGTGCCACCTGTAATCCAAAGATATTATACAAATTTATTTTTTTTTTAATTTTTGATGTACTTACCCTTTTTATAAGTTTTCACTCATTTATCATTTTATGACAGGAAATATTTATTACAGGTCTATTGGGTACACATGGAGCCCTAGTGGTGCAGTTTTTAGGAGCTTGGCTGCTAACCAAAAGGTCGGCGGTTCAAATCCACCAGCCACTCGTTGGAAACCCTATGGGGCAGTGCTACTCTGTCCTATAGGGATGCTATGAGTTGGAATCAACTCAAAGGCAGTGGGTTTGGTTTTTTTGGTTTATTTGGTACATAATACTAAATAAAGTTATTTTACATTCTCTATTGTGGATTATAGGCCTTGCAAAAGTCATGCAATATATTGGAGAAAAAAACCTAAGATTAAAAATTTAATTTTTGTCAAACTTCCCGAGTTAGATTACCTTAACAGATGCATATTAAGTATATACTTGAGACTCAAAGTATTTTCATCTAAAATACTACTTTAATTAGAGAATGTTGAGATTGTAAACTATCACTGTATTTTATATGTACTATGTCAAATTTATTTCATTCCTTGAATCCTTTAGAGTATATTATGTAATCCATTCATCAAGGATGTTCTGAGTTACCACTACAGCATCCACCCTGTTCTTATACTGGCAGAAAGAATATAAGAGGGAACAGAGGAAAATAAAGCCGAATACATAGTATAAGTTTAGGAGCTTCATCCTATAACACAGAATAATATTGGTGAAGTTAATAGAAAGAAAAACTAGGATTAGAAATTTGAATCTAGGAAAACATTTTGAAGTATGGTGCTGAGTAGAACTATTGTACCACTTAAAATAACAGGGAAGTTGAAAAAGAGATGTGTTTTAGGGTTATCTGATGAGGTGACTCTTAGTTTGTACATATCTCTCTGAATGGATTCTTCATTTTGTAATAAAATTGTTTTTTTATTGTTCTGCCTTCACTCTTAGTTGGTAAAGTTTTTAAGTGCAAGGAATGTCTCATTCATCTTTGTTCTCTACTGAATATAATTTGGCACCTCACATTCACTGGGTACTCAGTAAATGTCACATGCATGAACATAAACGTGGTATAAAAAGTCATCAGAGATATGGGGAGTGGAGAAATAGATTTCAGTCATTTGCACAGAAATGAAATAGTGCTTACTGTAACTCTAGTTGCTACCAGACACAGAGAAGCTCATTAAATATTTCTTGCAGCAATGAATGTGTATGAATACATGAATGAATAAATGAATGAGACATAATCAGTTCACTGAGGGAATAAATATATTAAGATAAAAAATGGAAAAATCTTAACTTTGGAAAGTACTAAAATGTAATAAGCTAGAGGAAGAAAAGTAATCAGTGATAGATAGCCTTGGAAAAGGAATAGTTAAAGGGAAAAGAAAGAAAATAGAGTGTCATAAACAATAATAATGTGTTACAGTTTTGTTTCCAAAGCAGTCTCACATTATTTCATTTTAATTCTGACAACAGCCCTGAGAAGTACGGAGAGAAGGTATTATTATGGTTGTTTTTTTATAGATAAAGAAGCTGAGGCATAGAAAGGTTAAGTGTCTTGGAGGAGAGCATTTCAAACAGGAAAAAATATTTGACATTGTCAAATGCAGAAAAGAGAATAAGGACTGAAAAGATGTCACTGCATTTGGCATACAGTTCATTGGAGCCTATGCAAAGTGAGGATGGGAGGAGGGAAGTAGAAAGGTGGAGATAGAGCTTGACAGTTTTAGAGAAAAGTTGCAGATAAATGTGTTAAAGCATCCTATCAGTATCAGGATGGGACAAGAGGTAGGGCAGCCTACAAAGAGAAAGAACACGAATATCTTCTCTTTTTACCCAAATGCGCACAGTGATTTCTGTAAACTGATTTTCATCCTGCCATAAATATGTGTATACACATGAAAGTTTCTGACTTTGCAATTATTATTTCGAGATATTAAATGCTATTTGGATAAGGTCCTCTTGATAACTTCTAACAAATACTGATTCCCCTCCTCCCACCTCTTTCCTTAATGTTTTTTCATTCGAAAACGGCACATAAAATATTTGGATGGAAGTAGAGGCATGGAGGCTATTTAGCATTACAACTCTTCCAGCTCCCTTCTCACTTGAAAAATAACTCCTTATTAATGTAAACATTGAAGGGCCCTGGTAAAGCAGGAAGGACACCTGGTGGCTCAGTGGTTAAGCACTGCTAACTGGAAAGGTTAGCAGTTCAAACCCACCAGCTACTCCATGGGAGAAAGATGTGGCAGTCTGCTCTGGTAAAGATTACAGCCTTGGAAACCCAACGGGGCAGCTCTACTCTACTCTGTCCTATAGAGTTGCTATGAGTCAGAATCAAAGGCAACCTGTTGGTTTGTTTGGGCGTGGGTGGGGGTTTAAACAGGTAATTCTATTCAGGGATAATTTTTCCAGGAGGTTTTTTATTTCGAATCAGAAGGGAAGAAAAGTATAGCGATATATATATATATATATATATATAGTGAAGAACTGTTACCACGATAACGTGGATTGGAGCCGCCTGCCTCAATAGCCAATTCTGAGACGGGGTGAGGTGAGCAGCAAGATGTTTATTATATATCGATATATAGGAGACGGAGGGGAATAGATTCCTCCAAAAAATCTGTCTCTCCCACTGGAGATCTGCTGGAGTCTTTTATAGGGACAGTATTGTGGATCTTTTGCGATAGTTTCCCCTTGAGGTGGTGATGTCTTAGATGAGTTAACCTTCTACTGGTATTCTTAGAGGTTATCTGGTGACATCTTTGGGGATTATCTGGCAACATTCTGCTTACTCTTGTCACAAGATGGATGCTTTGTCTGTTTTTTCATTCTTAGATCATTATCACTTGTTTTCTACCCTACAGGTAGGAACAGGTTAATCTTAAACCTTTTTGTAGAGACTGGAGAAAAAAAAAAGATCATGAGACAATGTGGCTGTTAACAATGCGGGAGTAAACAATAGTGAGCTGGGCCTATGCAGCCTCTTCCAGAACCATTTTTTCCTTGACTTCTCTAAATGTATATGTGGCAGTAGATGTCGAGCACTGGAAGAAACATACACAAGTAAATTCTGGAATAAGATATGCAAATTATGGAATGAATATGTCAAATAAAGAAAAAATTTCTTCTACTGCATATTTTAAATACTAAACTTTTCACTCTCACGGATATAAAGACATACACACACGTGCACACACATCCCTAGCATAAGTCTACCAAAATTGCATCATAGATTGCAAAAGCTGTTTTTTATGATCTTCTGAGTAGCACATACTTAGGTTTGCTTAGGAAAAGATACATTTTTCTTAATACTAGGGTTGTCAGTTGAGGAACATAAATTTAGTTGGGCAATCTAAATTATTTTTTCACAATCAAATCATCAACAGAATTGCTAGTTAAATAAGATTCCACATTTTACCCAATTTTTGATGATGTGCAGAGTAGGAAGAAAAATATGATTTTTTAAGATAATAAAATGCAATTTACATATTGTTATTTTTTTTCCCTGAACCCAATTAATGAATAAACAAACTGCACTGTGGCTGTGTCTACATATCACATAAATATCTAGATGAAAAGTGACAAATTCAGGCCATCATCCAGCTATTTGAAAACATTTATCTCGATGACATTAAACATCTGGATGATTCCAAATACCAAGATGTTTGATGTCCTGCAGATAAAATATCCTGATGACTGGATGAATTTTTTCACTTATCTGTTATATAAAAATGCACATTGGTATGCATATGTCTCTTCCTATTTCAGACACAAAATATATTTTAGCATGGCTATATTAGGAAATCGTAGACAATAATTGTCGTTTCGATGTTTTTGTCATTGTTCTTAATGAACCTCTGACTTGGAGAAACTTCTGTTTTTCTTTTCTTTCTTCTTCTCAGTAGATAAAAGTCAATAGCCAGTGTGAATTCAATGATAAAGAATGTGCAAAATAAAGGCACCTAGGCACCTGAAATTTTGTTTACAATGGGCCATGAAAACACTGTGTGGGAAAAATATAACACAAAGTAGTCTTAATTGATTGACATAATATTCACTTTAAATGCTATATAAAACCTTTCCTTCTCCCATTATCTTCTTCTTGAAAGCATTTAGTGCTTCCTTAGCATGTCCGTTTATGCCATGCAGGTGAAATGACAGGAGTTCAAACTTTCAAATTTGATAATTTTGATGTTTTTAATGATGGTTTGGAATGGAGAAAGTAGAACACATGAGCTATATTTTTGTCTACTCATTAGATCCTTATTAGACTACTGCAACTTCTCTGCCACATTTTCTTGCTCTATTCTAATTGGAGAAAAACCGTTCTTATGTTAGAAATGAGGCAAACATTACTATAAAATAGAACATGTATTTTGATTCTCAACTTAAAAAAAGAGATTGGTGTTCTTTTCAATTCTCACCACTTTAACAGTAATTCTGCATAAGCATTAAATATCATTTCTAAGCCTTTTTAAACCAAGATTGCTTGCATTCCATACTAGAAGAGAGAAATGAATGTTACAGTGAAAAACAATTCCCTGAAAGCTGGAAACTATTATGGCACTAAAATAACAGACAATTGCATAACACATTTCAACTTCCAAGCACTCTACCTTTAGGATCACTCAGCACTGAACCAAAGGCACTGATGACCACGTCAGCTTTCAGATGGACTATCTGATCTTCATCTTCATTCCAGTTTCCAGTTTCATCTTGCTCTGTCCGAACAAATTGCATAGCAACAATTCTCCCACCTTTTACTATAACTTTCCGCGGGGAAAGAAAAGGCAAAAATTCACACTTTTCTTCCTTAGCAAGCTCCATCTAAAACAAAAAAAGAACAGGAAAAAAAAACAAAAACTTGCAAGTGTTTCTTCTCCATATAGTATTTGATTTTTAATTCAATTATACATGCAAAAGCTTATGATGCTTAGATCAACGTAAAGCTTTCTGAGATTCAGTTATTATCTGTTTACATCCCGTAAATCACTGACTAGGTGGGGGGAGGGTCTTGAAGATTGGAGTTGTGATGTGGAAGTTTATAATCGTGGCATCAAAGATATTTCTCAAGTTTGGGGCATTTCATTCCCTGTGGTTAGTTGAGGTTTATTGAGGTTTGTGGCTACTGTAATCTCATCTTTTTATGCTCTCATTTCTGTAAATTAAAGTTCTCTTTTGGATCATGCCACATATGAAAAGAAATACATCCGTTTATTACTTGGCTGCGTCTATTTAAGCTGGAAAAAAGTCAATAAAGTGGGCGAGCCAATCTGTGCAAGTACACAATTAGAATGGTAAGTAGGAGAAAAGAAAGCTAGAGAAACTCTGTGGAACTAAGACATTAAAAAACACAACAAAACATAACAAAAAATATTCTTCCCTTTGTAAAAGCACAGAAGCAAATACTGTAAATAAAAAATTTAAGAACAAGAACCAAGCATGCTCCTCCTGATAAACTCCCAGTCCTTCCACATCTCTTACACAATTCATTCCTCCATAAAATCAGGAAGCACTGGTTTTTGTTTGTTTTAATACCAATAATGGGATGCCCCTCAAGACAGAATGTTAACATTTACTTATTTGCTTATTTTTCCATTCACTGATCTTGGGGAAACCTTTGACAATGTAATTCTAATGCAAACACCTCAGGCTAGCATGTTGAGTATTCTTTTTTTAAATGTAAAAATGTCATCGGGGAAATACAAATCAAAGCCACAAAGACATTCCACTTTATCCCACTAGGATGGCTATGATCAAAAAACCAGAAAAAAAAAAAAAAAAAGGTGTTGACAAGCATGTGGAGAAATTGGATACTCATCAACTGCTGCTGGGAATGAAAAATGGCGCAGCCACTACCGGAAATAGTTGGGAGGTTCATCTAAACATTAAAATAGAATTATCATATGACCCAGCAATTCCACTCCTAGATATATACCCAAAAGATTTGAAAGTAAGAAAACAAAGAGATTCTTGTACAACAGTGATCATTGCGGCACTACTTAGAATAGCCAAAAGGTGGAAACAGCCTAACATCAATAGATGACTGCATAAACAAAATGTGGTATATATACACAATGGAATATTAATCAGCTATAAAGAGAAATGAAGTTCTGATGCATGCTACAATATGGATGAACCTTGAAAACATTATGCTGAGTGAAAAAAATACATCAAAAAAGGACAACGATTATATGATCACACCTATATTAAATATCTAGTATAAGCAAATGTATACAGACCAAATAAGGGCAGTGATGCTTCAGTGTTAGAATTCTTGCCTTCTATGTGGGAAACTTGGGTTTATTCCTGGCTAATGCACCTCATAGACAGTCACCAGGTATCTGTCAGTGAAGGCTTCTGTGCTGCTATGATGCTGAAAAGGTTTCAGCAGAACTTCCAGCTAAAGACAGGCTAGGAAGAAAGGCCTTGTGATCTACTTCTGAAAATCAGCCAAAGAAAACTCTATGGATCAAAATGGTCCAATCTGCAACCGATCGTGGGTATGGTGCAGGACCGGGCAGCGCTTCGTTCCACTGTGCCCAGGGTCGCCATGAGTCACAGACCTACTCCACAGAAACTAACAACAACATAAAAACCAAAGTTTCTTAGTGGTTACCAGGGTCAGGAGGGAAACGAAAAAGGAGTCATTGCTTGAGTTTCTGTTAAGGATGATGGAAAAATTTGGAAACAGATAGTGTTAATTGGTGCATAACATAATAAATGTAATTAATGTCACTGAACTGTACCTGTAAAAAAATGTTGAAATGGCAAATATTATCTAGATTTTTTTTAACCACAAAAACAAACAAAAAAATGTAAGAAACTTCCTACTGAAGAGGGTGGGAGTTGTCTACTCTTGTTGGATCCCTCCCCTGTGGCAGCCAGCTTCCATTTCTGCCTTCCTTGAAGATCTTCAGGCGGCATGACATCTGTTTTCTCCCATGTATGCTTGCTTGCTTCTATGCCTGATTGGCAACTTTTATATCTCAAAAGTTATTGGCTTAAAACACACCCTACATTGATATGGCCTCATTAAAATGATAAAAAAAAATGCTATTTATTTGTAGTTGCTATTCTCTGAATTTACTTTTCCCCCCAAGCATTCTTCAATTATTCAATATCACTTAGTAATGGGATTGTGATTTCAATAGAAAGGTGGCCCAATAACAAAGGTTAAAATAAGGAAAGGCCAAAAATAAATCTTAGACTCCTCTTTAATTATCTACAAAATAAAAATGTGTGATTTCTGGAGGGCAAACTATTCCTTGAATAATTCAAATTACCAAATAAATCCAGATTTAGTACCTGTTTTCTATATCACTTTTGTCACATGTGTGTAATGTAGCACCTTAAAACTCATCGATATAAACCAGTTTATTGTGTTTCACAAATGTCAAGTGATGCTAAATTTTAATGATAATGCCACACTTGATTGAATAACAATGCCAAATGTTTACGATGAGAATAAATCAACACATGATGCATATTTATAACAGCACTATTTTCCATGGAAGGCAAAAATAAAATATTGAACTATGCCACATATATTGAGAACATGCCTTACTGATGCATTTAGGATCTGTTCTGTCCCATTCTGCTCTTCTTGCCTGTTAGTACTTAAGTAGTATTTATCATTATACATAGATAATCTCTTATCCTGTTTGGCACATTTAGAATTAAATTTAGAAACAAAAACTGGACACTACTCAGACTTTTAAGAATTTAAAAGAAAAATCACCAGTGATTTAATATCTGAGCATGCTTTAATCATTCTCTTTCTGGCTGATAAATTACCATAGATATGACTTTTCAAAGTGCAAAAACTATGTACAGTTATAAACATAAAAAAAATGTTTCTTAACATATCCTCAGCTCATCATAATCTTCTATATGCACCACTGCTGAGAACTCACATTCTAATATTTGGGTATTCTCCTCAACTATCTAACAGTGCACAAAACTCAGGTAGTATGAATTCTGACCCCCACAGAGGTTAATCTGAATTTCTACTTCAGAAACTTTAGAGTTGCTCTTTACTCTCTAAAACATAGGATTAGGCCACTGGGCAGCTATGACATAAATCCCCACTTCTTACTATTTTGCTATTAAGTAGCTAGACTTTCCATTTCACAATAGAGGTAGACATGTTATTTGAATATATGTTTATATGCCTATATCTATGTATCTATCCATCTACCTATCTATTTAGAAAGTATTAATATTATGTTGGGAAAAAAAGGAACTGAGATGATTAGAAATATCAATAATAGATATATAAGGAAAATGAGAATACAGGGTAAGTGAAGCCACATACCAAATGAAATGTCCTTGAATTATTTGTGGAAAAGATGGAGATTTACTTTCAGTATTTAAGAAATCTGTATAACGAGGTAATAATAATAATATTTATATAGCAAGTATTCTTCTAAGTGCTTGTTATGGACTAAATTGTGTCCACCAAAAATATGTGTTGTAAATGCTAACCCCTATTTCCTATGAATGTAATCGCATTTGGGAATTTTTTTTTTATTATTTAAATGAGGCCATATCAATGTAGGGTGTGTTTAAAGCCAATAACTTTTGAGATTTAAAAGTTGCCGATCAGGCACAGAAGAAAGCAACATACATGGGAGAAAACAGATGCCATGCCGCCTGAAGATCTTCAAGGAAGGCAGAAATGGAAGCTGAAAACAGACAAGGACTTTCCCTCAGAGCCGACAGTGAGAGAAACCTTTCCCTAGAGCCAGTGCTTTGAATTCAAACATCTAGCCTCCTGAACTGTGAGAAAAATAAATGTCTGTTTGTTAACCCATTGCCATAGAGTCGATTCTGACTCATAGCGACCCTACAGGACAGAGTACGACTGCCCTCATAGGATTTCCAAAGAGTGGCTGGTGGATTTAAACTACCAACCTTTTGGAAAGCAGCCAAGCTCTTAACCACTACACTAAGCCACCCAAATGTGGTATTTCTGTTATAGCAGCACTAAGAAACTAAGACAGTGCTTTACATATAACTCATTTTAATCCTCACACAGATGTGTTATGACATTTATATATTAGTTATTATTTAAAAAAAAAAAAAGATTAAGCTCCACCAACTTTTTCTCCCTGCTCTGCCTCTAAAGGCCAACAGCACATTAAGCTTTATCATGATTTACAGTTTTAACACCCAGCCCTAGGCTTGCTTGCCTTACAAAAAAACTCTATGGGAAAACAGTATTACTTCCTACTTACAGAAGAGAAACTGAGGCTCAAAGAAACCAAAGCCATATATTAAAGGAGGACAAATCTTAGATAACACCCTGATCTAGCTGAAACCAAACCCTATGTGGTTTTCATTATGTCCAAGGATAGCAATTATAGTAATTGAAAAAATGAGACTTTGTATGGTTTTAGTTGCTGAACCGTGGAACAGGAAAAGATCTGGTCAACAGCAAATTAAAGATCAAGGGGGTGGCTGAATAAAGGTTGCCCTCAGTGGGCAGAGGAGATCCAGACTTTTCAGTCTAAGTGAGTATGTTTAGAGGTTCTATAAAGTCATGAAATACAGAACCAAGTGATAGACTATAAACCCAATATTGTAAATGAGGTAATAGAGACTCCTAGAATCTAGAGAAAGTGTAAGTGTAAAACAAAAGAAGTACTACTTCACAAAGTGGCTAGTAATGACATGGAACATATCATCTCAAGATATAAAAGTGGAAAATTAAAATAGAATTAAAAAATTAAATTTGTTAGGCAGTAAACTTCACAAGAAAGTCCTGTTGGCACAGTGGTTAAAAGATCGGCTGCTAACCAAAAGGTTGGCAGTTCGACTCCACC